GGGTCCAATCCTGCAAGTCCTTCTATTCCCAGTGCATGCAGGATTGGACCCCTGATGCTCTGGGAGCGCCTACTCAGATTCGTCCATTTGCAAAGATGCATCCTGGGAATCTCTCAGCAAGAGATTCCCCAGTCACCAGTCATGCTGCTATGCCCCGATTCAAGGTGTGCCTATGAAAATGAGGAACACTGCCCCAAGATAGATTCCCCAGGCATGTGTCTGCAAGCAGGGAAACCCCAGAAAAAATTAGTGCTCTCAATCACCTCATGTGAATGAGTTAATCTCCAAGGTGCCACCCTGTCCTATCTTCTTTATGATATACTGTAATTGAAATGGCCTAAACTGACATAGGAGAAAATGGCAAAGAACCTGCTACCTTAATGATAATCTAAAACTTCAGATTCAGTTGTTGAGAAGTAATTCAGGTTTATACTCTACACATGCATTCCACGTGCAATAGGTGTACCTCAGTGTGATTTTACATTTTGAGAGCCTTTCATTAAAAGCTTTTACCTATATCTGAATATTATTAATGAATTAATAACAATACTGCACCAGGAGATGCTTGCATTTCAATAGTGTGTGAAATTACTCCAATATATGTAAAATATAGGGTTTTTTTCCAATTAATCCTTCAAGTGGATATACTATATTAACACATGCAAACATTATGCTGTTTTCAAGTTCAGGTTGGTCTACATACAGAAACATACCACTCAAGCAAGAAATTGTGAAAATTAAGGCATTTAACATAATGGACATTCTACGCCTACATTCATAGGCGTACGACTTCCCATTACAGCAACCACCACACATTCCAGACAAGCATTACAATCTTAATTCTGCCCCAGTAGGAATACCAGGCTTCCAGCATCTATTTCTTCAAGCTCTCACACCTTACAAGGAAGCAAGATATCCTCCCTGCTAACCTTCCAGCACAGCCCTGGAAACCATATTCACTCATGGTAGGAGAAGGGGTGGGTCTTTAATGGGACTGAACCTTTTCTCTGTGACACTGTTTTGCCAGCTAAGCACTCGGCATCAAGGCCACAGAGTTCACCTTGAAGGTTCATCCTCTATTCTTTCCAAGAGCTTTTTGTCTGACAAAAGCTATCTAATAAAATTATCAAAGGTGCATAAGTGACTCAGGAACCTGTTTTCACGAAGTGCCTTTTTTATGTGGCAGTCCACGATGTATTAGAAATATATGCCACCATCTCCACAAGAGTCTCAGGGCAGCTTACAATAAAACCAGATAAATTCTAAAGACAGATAAAAAAAATTAAAATAAAATAGGAAATAGGAAAAACTCCCCAGACAGTGCCCCCAAATTTAGCCCTGACTGCTGAAAGGCCACCCAAATAAAAAGGTCCTACAACCCTTCTGGAAGATAGGCAGGCTCAAATCTAATGGACCAGAAGAACAATTCCAAAGACAAGGAGTTAAGATGTGTAAATTCAGACTCGGATGGACCAAAAGCGCGAGGGAGTTCCAGAGCTGACCAGCAACTGCCAAGAATCACCTCCCATTTCACCTGACAAACTTGTCCCACAGATGGTACATGTGGGAGGTTGCTCTCAGCTGACCGTAGAAATCACAATGGAATATATGGTGGTCCCTTAGGTACGTAGAGTCCAGGCTATTTAGGACCTTATAGCACCTTGATTTGGGATTTAGGATCCTGAGTACATCAATTGTTTTTGAGAACTGGATTTAAAAACATTTGAAAATTTTACTTTAAGCCCCACTGAAATTGACTGGGACACGGGAGTCTATGTGCCTGTTAATTTTGAAAGACTAAAGGTCCTGAGTCACTTCAGCAATGTTAAAATTTTACCCATACATTTTATTTCCTTATGTTAAGCAGCAGAAACCACTCCCAAAACCAAGCATGGGAAACACATTTGCAGTCACTGGGTATGTCTACACATGCAATTAATGCAACTGAATGCAATCTGCCACAATTTGAGCTGGAGTAAATTAATCCCAACGTCACCGTCTACCCATGCGTTTAAGAGTAGTAATTTACTCCACCGTCAGATAGTACCTCTATGTGACAGGACTATCCTGATCCAAAGTAAATTACTACTCTTAAAAGTAGTTTTACTACTCTTAAAAGTGTTTTAATCTACTGCGCCGTAATTGTGGTGCATGTGTAGACAGTGACTCTTTACTGCACAGTATATTAGTCTACTGCACAGTAAAGAGCACGTGTAGATGCACCCACTCAGTGTCCCAAACTCAGTTCTTTAACCTCTTGAGTCATCATTATGGCCACATCAGAGACACATTATATGATTTTAATAGGTCAAATGCCACTATTTTCCCCTGTGCAATGGCACATCTTTAAACAATTAAGAATTAGTTTGAAATAAGTCAGAGACACCTGCCCATGCTCTGTTTATTTTGAAAAGTGATCTTCTCTTCCCCAGACAAATGCTGTTATATTTACATCTGACCAGATGGTGTTTCTTATCAGTCTTGACCAAAGACTGACACAGGTATGCAGACAGCCTACAGGAGTGCAGGATACACTTGCCTAATCATAGCATCTTCCCCCCTGGATCGCACCGGCAGCTTTTGTTGTCAAGTTGAAGGTTAATCACATTTATACTTTGTGTCTGTGTACATCCTTTTCAAATTCCACTGAAGCTAGAGAAATCAGCAGTGTACACTTTTGTTATTAAACAAATATTGCCATCTTTTCAACAGTTCTACCTTTTCACTCTCCATTACTATTGTTCTTAAGAGAGATCCCTAAAGCCCTTAACTGTATCAAGGTCCTATTGTGCTAGGCAGTGTACAAGTGTACAGAAAAGGGAAGTTCCTTTCCTAATTTGTTTATTGCTCAGAATATGCTCAGAGATGATTGAAAATTCATTTTCTCTTTCTATTGACCATTCTGTACATTTAATGTATTTTCCTGTATTTCCTATTGAAGATGACACAATGAGGTGTACTTCCCTACATAAGCAGCAGTAAAAGTGCAAACTCATGAAGAAAAGTATGTGAAAACTTGTGTCCTGCACCCATTCACCCATCCCTGCAAATGAATCAAGAAGGTCTCAATAATGATCTAATTACTCATGATGGAAGGCAGCTGACAAACACCCTGAAGGTAAAATAATGCCCAAGCTTATCCTCCAATGCATCATTGGTTCATCTGCCTCTCCCTAAATTTTCCTTCTTTAATAACTGAACAACCTTGCCTGCTCTGCTGCTTCAACATACCCCGCCCACTGGGGAAATGCATTTGTCACTTTGCCTTTTGGAAGAACAAAGGAAACCATGAGACAAAGGTAACATTCTTGGATGAAATCCTGCATGCATTTGTAGTCAGTGGGATTTTTTCTTGCTGACATTATTGGGGCCAGATCACCCAGATGTGGAATAGCAAAGTGGGAATAACTCATTTGAGCAGTTCATATTAGCTCCTTGGAAAAGTGTTTTGATAAGAAGAGTGAAAATACTTACATAAGAACAAGGTGTTGTTGTTATTATGTCTATGGTGGGTACATTTGGCAAGTGAGGATTCAAAGACATCCCTATCTTTAAAATAGGTTATACCATAATAAATGGTACTCTCTCTGGAATGGGGATTATTGTTTTGTTTTTTTTAATGCACCCATTATGATATGACAGCACTACTGGTGGGAAATAATGAAATACAATATGAGATGACACAGTCTGGTGATTGAAAATTCTTATTTGTACTCTGCTTTATTTGTATTATAAAAACAAACTGATCACCCCAATCAGGATCATGGCCACCTTTTGCCTAAGTACTGCTAAACTGAAATCAAAAGACAGTCCCTACCCCAAAAATCTGAAACTCTAAACCATGAAGAGCAACGGGGAAGGAGAGAGAGAAGAGAAAGGTAATTGATAAATAATACAAATATAGGCTTGTATAGGATACTTGGGACTGGGGATTCCCAAGAAGCCAAACATCCAGCTCCCATTTAGTACCTTTGAAAATCTGAACCTTAGTTCACAGTGGGAGAGTTTACAAGTGATGCTTTATTGCGCACCTACAATTCACTGTCTACACATGCACATCAATTACTGCACATTAAATTAGTCTAATGCACCAGTTGCTATTACCAATACATACAGGTATTAGAAAAATGGCACGTTAACTAATATACCAAAGTGCACATGTAGACCCTAACCAGAAGCAATTTACTCCTGGTCAGCCCATGCAGCAGGGGTCCACAACTGCTGCCACGCTAAACCTCAATCTCCACAGGGCAGAGGGAGCTGTCCTGGCTCCAGGGCAGCTCCCCCCACCCCAGAGATTGGGACTGCCCCCGACCCCCACACAGCTGGGAGGCAGCTGCCCTGGAGCTGCCCTGGAGCTGGGATGGCTCCCCCTACCCTGCAGAGATTGGGGCTGGCCCCAATCTCTGCATAGCTGGGAGAGATCTGCCCTGGAGCCAGGACAGCTCCCCCTGCCCCATGGAGCCCAGGTCTGACCCCATGCCCCTTGCCAGCCCAGGGGTGGCATCTGGAGAAGCCTGGAGCGCCACTGGCTGCTGCTGGGGGTGGGGGGCAGAGCAGGGCAGGAGCAGCCCTGGACTGAACTGCTCTGATCAGAAACAAATTTGCTCCTGATGAGTGCATGTTCAGATACGTGCCCAGGTGCAGTTTAATGCGCCTGAATTTTCTGCACAGAAATGCAGGCACATTAATTGCACGTATAGACGTACCCAGTATGAAGGTTCACAGATCTAATGGAACACTTGTGTATATCCACACTGTGTCCCCAGCATGTCCAGGGAGGGCACATGCCCAATCCACTTACTCCCATTTCCCATGTACCAAATGAAAAATGCATCAAGGAAACTGTTCCTAGGGTCTCTCTCTCAGCTGCTCTCAAACATGCTGGAGAAAGGGGATGGGGTACAATCACACTCTGACAGACCTTGAAGCAATTTACTGGTGGCATCTTGGTTGAAGTAGATAGGAAAGTAACACCTGATTAATCAGATTCATTTTAAAAATATGCAAAAAGGAAAAGCTTGTGGCTACCACTCTGCAAGTTGTTCCATTCAGCTGTACAGACCCTTGTGCCCCTAGGGAGTATCAGTGAAATCAGTTGAGTACAGTAGGCCTCCGCATTAGCACTCAAGCCTCCCAGCAAGAAATGGTTGTAAATTTAGGGCCTATATTTGTAAGATTGAGAAAACACTTTGTTTATTTAAAACATAATCATCTCTCACGCCAACATTGATTGCTGCCTCATTGCTATGTTTCGTGTGAGCAAAATTTTCATGTTGCCGACCACAAGAAATTTTAGTAAAACTTTCTCAGAGACTTGCATAGCATTTTGTTTGCTTTGGTAGTCATTGCTGTGGCTGGGAAAGAACTTAAAGGAAGAATGTCTTTCATTTTTGACTTCTAAAGCCTTCAGTACATGACATAGTAGATCCAAAGTGAAATGAAGATGTAATCACAATGTATGGATGGATCCAATGCATGTGAAAAAAGGAGTCTTTCTGTTTATTTTAAAGGTGTTTGGATCATGCACTTAATGGACACTAGTCAGACACTGGCTGAACACAGACAAAATCAGCTTACAGTTCTGGATATCAGGAAATCTGCTCAGTATGGGAATAGCAGGGGTGCTGAAGGCCAGAGGACTCCGCAGTAAATGAATGGGCAGAGCTAACAAAGGATTCTCCAACTGCACCTGTCTGCACTGTGCCTCTTACTAGTATTATGCGCCCAGGCATTACTGAGTCCAGAGCAAATATTTATCCAAAATGTATAACGAGCAGATCTTTGCAGAACAGATGTTCTGATCCTGGGAGAATCTATAAAATAATTATCTGATCTCCAAATAAAAATAGAATCTCCAAATAATATTGAATTATATTTTGAAATGAATATGGGCATTTGCCTTTTATAGTTTACTTGTGTTATCAGACTAAAATAGGCTAGATTTTTCTAATGCAGTTTTATACTTGGTGTAATTTTGAAAATCAACCTGCAGTTCATATAAGAAGGAACTTCGCATTACAGGCCTCCTCTATGAGGCAGACCCCACTAGCTATTTCACATTTTTAACATTGTTAAGAACATTCATGTTCAAAATCTTAGTGAAATGAAAGCAATAAGATGTGGGGGAAACTGTCAATAAAAACAGGTTGAGAAATAATAATGTTGCAACCATTAATGAAGAAAAAGCCTCAAAAGTTTACAGCAAGATACAGAATGACTACATGATGTTGGAAGGAAAAAATGCTGATAAAGGGAAAGCAAGAAGCAAAATGAAAGCATACAAATATTTTTTTGCTAATCATAGATAAGTAAAACAAAAGCAGCAGCTGATAAATCACACTGTGTTAATAATTTATCTATTTGTCAAAACATGGAAGCAAACTGAACAATCTACAAATGTAAACACCTTCTTATTGTTGGGTCTGAGGATCAGGTGGTCAGGTATCCTGGGCAGGATGGGACATGGACCAGGTGTCCTTGGATAAAATCACTGAGAATCAGAACTGCTGGGGTAAAATCCTGAACCTGCTAAAGCTGATGGAAGTTCTGACGTGGATTTTCATGGGGCCAGGACTTTACTTCTATTTTCAGCTCTGGTACTAGTCTGTTACATGAACTTCAGCAAGTTCATGAACAGTCACATACTCTGCCGTGACCTATTCAGGCTGGACATAAGAAAGAATTTCTTCATTGTCTGAGCCCCCAAGGTTTGAAAAAGACTGCTGCCGGAGGCAGTTCAAGCACCCACTTTGAATGCCTTCAAGACACATTTGGATGCTTATCTTGCTGGGATCCTATGATCCCTGCTGACTTCCTGCCCCTGGGGCAGGGGGCTGGACTTAATGATCCTCCGGGGTCCTTTCCAGCCCAAATGTCTATGAAATCTATGAAAAAAAATCTATGAAAAAAAAGTTAATCAATATGACTTATTTTACCCATCTCTAAACTGAAGTGCTCCCGTGATTAAATATTTCCCTTATACTAATTAATAAGCTTAAACTTAATTTGGATGAGTTGGGTTGTAAGATTTTGAGGCACAAACTTCAATTCCCTTCATAAATATACAGTACCTAGTGCCTATCAGATGGTAGTTTAGTACAAATTATAATAAATAAAAGATATAAGAGCAGATGTGGTACCCTCACATATCAAGCAATGTGGTACCCCCACACTTTTAAGTGTGCCTGAAACCTATTTGGTTTTTAGTCCCTAAAATTGTGATTCCTCAAATGAGGCCTATTCTGAGAAGCAGTTGTTTTCCTAGGGTCTCTGAGACTGAATTTAGTAAGTTGAAAAACTAAGAGACTTCTTTTGATCAATCAGGTCTCTTCTAATCCTACTTTTTTCACAAACCAGGATGGTGTGCTGCCCAGTAAGGCAGTGATACTGTAAGGTCAGTCTCTGACTTGATTTACCCAACGTTTCTTTCTCTTAAGGGCCTTACATTCCAGAGCACTATACAAGATAGAGATGTGTATACAGGTAGCAGCTGTTAGTAATATTTGCACTGAATTATAACAATTGCAAAACTGGCAGTAGTCACAGGGAACTTCTGCAGTCAAATGACAGAATCACACAGTTGGAGTCCCTTTCAGCTCTGCTAAAGGCAGGAACATCCCTGTCTAAGCCATCCCAGACAAATGTTAGTCTAACCTGCACTTAACTTCCATCGAAAGAAATTTCATAACCTTTCTAAGTAATCTATTCCATTGCTTTACTGCTCTCAGAGACAGAAAGGACTTCCTAATATCCAATCTAAATCTCCTTGCAATTTAATCCCATTAATTCTTGTCTTGTAGCTATGACACAAAGATAATTGATTTCTACACTGTGCATAACAGCCATTTTTGTATTTGAAGACTGTTTTCAAATTCCCTTCAGTCTCCCCTTTTCCAGACTAAACAGTTCCAGTTCTTCAACCTTTCCTCATCTGTTATAATTTTCTAGCCCTCAAATAATGTTTGTGTTCCTCTCAACTCCTTCAATCCATTCATGTCTCTTCTGAAATGCAGTTCACCAAACTGCACACAGTGCTCCAAATGAGGCCTTACTAATGCTGATTAGACAGGAAGATTCACTTCCCATGACTCCTATTAATACATGATGGGATGCTATTAGCTTGTTTTGCAGCAATACTACAAAGCTGACTCATTGTTTGTGATCTACTATAACGTCCAGGTCCTTCCCTACAGCCTAGCCAGTCACCTCCCGTTTTGTATTTGTGCATTTAATTGTCCCGTCCTAAGTGCAGTACTTTGTACTTGTCCTTACTAAATCTCATCCTATTTATTTCAGGCCATTTTTTCCAATTTACCAAAGTCATTTTGAATCCTAATCTTGATTTAAAGTGACTGCAATCCTATGCAGCTTGGAGATGTATGTCATTTTACAAGATGCACATTTTATAAGATTGAGTAATTCTGTCCTCTAAGTCATAAATGAAGATCTTGAAAAGTTCTGGACCTCAGACAAACCCCTGGGGATCCCACTTGACACCTCCTGCCAGGCAGGTATTGTAGCATGATGACTACTCCTTAAGCACAGTTATTCAACATGTTATGGCCCCACCTAATAACAGGGTTATCTTCTAGACCACAGTTCATTAGCTTACTAATCAGAATGTCATGAGAGACGGTTTCAAAGGCCTTGCTGATGTTGGCTTTTGAGACACTAGTCTCCCAGTTTAATTTGATCTACTTAAGATACACATTTTGAAAAATACTATGATATTTGAAAGAGAAGGTTCTTTGGGTAGATGTGATATCTTTTATTAGACCAACTAATAATATTTATTAGACCAACTAATATCCAAATGACATTTGGAATGCCTTTGAATTCCATAACAAAGCAAAACAAAAAAGTGGAAAAAATCTGC